CCCCGTTTCCATCTCTCCACCCTCTCCCAGGCCGTGGAGGTGCCTCCATCTACGGGAAGCACTTTGAGGATGAGCTGCACCCGGAGCTCAAGTTCACCGGTGAGTGGGGGGGGCGCAGGGGGACCTGTCCATAGGGTGACGTGTCCTCCAGGACCCTGTCCATAGGGTGACGTGACCCCAGTGTCCACCAGGACCCTTTCTATAGGGTGATGTGATCCCGTGTCCTCCAGGGCCCTGTCCATAGGGTGGTGTGACCCAGTGTCCACCAGGACCCTGTCCATAGGGTGACGTGCCCCCAGTGTCCTCGAGGACCCTGTCCATAGGGTGACATGACCCCATGTCCACCAGGATCCTTTCTATAGGGTGATGTGACCCCCATATTCTCCAGGGCCCTGTCCATAGGGTGGTGTGACCCAGTGTCCACCAGGACCCTGTCCATAGGGTGACGTGACCCCAGTGTCCACCGGGACCTGTCCATAGGGTGATGTCCATCCATCACCCATCCATCCATCCATCCATCATCCCTCCCTCCTTCCCTGCGTCCCCCCCTCAGGCGCAGGGATCCTGGCCATGGCCAACGCGGGGCCGGACACCAACGGGAGCCAGTTCTTCCTGACGCTGGCGCCGGCGCAGTGGCTGGACGGGAAGCACAGCATCTTCGGCCGGGTGAGCCAGGGCATGGCCGTGCTGGCGCGTCTCGCCATGGTGGACACCAACGCGCAGGACCGGCCCCTCGACGACGTCAAGGTCATCAAGGCTTTTCCCTCGGGATAACGGGGGGCTCCATGTGTCCCCCCCTGTGGAATAAAGGAGGTGGGAAGTGGAGGTGATTCCCCCCCCGCAGTGTGATGGCTTTGGGGGGTGGTCTCCACGTCGTGGTTGGGTGACACATGACAAGGGTGGTGTTGTGTGTCCATCAGAGCTGGGATATGGAGGGAGCAAAGGGGGACATGGAGATGCCGGTGTCCCTGGATGGATGGATTGATGGGTGAACGGATGGAGGATGGAGGATGGATGAATGGATGGAGGATGGAGGGATGGAGGATGGATGGAGGCTGGAGGATGGAGGGATGGATGATGGATGAATGATGGATGATGGATGAATGGAGGGATGGGTGATGGAGGGAGGGATGGAGGGAGGGATGGATGGATGATGGATGCTCTACATCCATCTACATATTGTGGGGAAGGTGTTTGGGTGGTGCCAGCCCCCACCTTGTGTCCCCGCAAAGTGCCCTGGGACCGGTCTCCACGTCGTGGTTGGGT